ATAATTTAGCAGAATTCTCTGTCCTCTTTTTTTCTGTAAGCTGGCAGTTAGATCTAGAGGTCTGATTAGACTCAGATCCTTTAGCCAAAGAAGGTTTCGTTTTCTTTTGAGAGTAGAGGTTTACAGAACTACTTCGTAGAGATTTTTTGTTCTCCCACAAGGGAGCACGTACCATCCAGTTGGCTTCGTGTGTGTGTGATGTTACCAGCTACTGATGCTCAGTGCCTAGATCCAGCAAATCTTTAGACTGGCAAACAGAACACTGGGGCACTGTTACAGACACAGTTATGTATACACACATCCATTTAAACACATTTCGGGAAACAGACATATCTCAGGCCCACTCTTGTCTTTTCTTTAACAACCTCATTGCCTCGTTATTAACTGCTTGGACCTCTCTTGTTTGAGACTTCTCTTTTTTCTGTATGAAAACATGATGTGTATAATAAAAAGCAGTCACTGAAACTTACACTAACAACTTTCCAAAGGGAACACAGTTCTTTTAGAGGAGAGACAAGAATGAACTAAGAGGAAAGAAGCCTTTATAAGATAGAGAAGTCACAGAGAAAGGTGTATCTGAGCTCAGTACACACTTAAATCTGAATCTACCCAGAGAAAATTTATGTCATGAAGGTGACTTTTTAGAGCTATGAAACATCTGAAGCTTGAAAAATTAGTACAGGAAAAAGAAAAATCTTAAAATGCCCCTCATTTTAAGTTTTCTGAATGAAAACTCAGTATTCACTCATGTGTTTTTAAGAATGTCAAATTTGAGTGGGAGAAGGAGCAATTTGAATTTTTGTTTTGTTTCCTTTCTTCATGAAGTGTGTATTTTATCTTAAACCAGTTCGCCAATGCCGTTACATTCTGGGGTCAGGCTGGGCAGTTTTGTGCCATTTGACCTAACAACTTAGAGACTTCTGAGTGACAGTAATAGTCTGCTGTCCCCTAGGCGTGTTCTAATGTCTGTCACAACATGAAAGGTATTCATTTAACAGAGACACAACAGAATCAGATAAATGAGGCATGTGTATCTGATTGATTGCAAGGATTGGGGAGAGAAGTTTCCTCTCATTCAATTAACGATAAATATTTACGCCAAGTAGAATTGAAATCGGGCTATCCTCTCATCCCATAATGTGGGGGTTAGGAAGGGGGTTCTTTTTTTTTTAAGACTTTATTGAGATATAATTCACATGGTGTATGATTCACACACTTAAAAGTGTCCAGTGGAGTGTTGTTTAGTATATTCATAGGGTTATGCAACTATCACCACCATCTAATTTTAGAACATTTTCATCTCTCCTAGAATCAGCACTATACCCATTAGCTGTCACTTCCCATTCTCTGCACCCCCTAGCTTCCCTCAGCCCCAATCAACCACTGTTGACTTTGTTTATAGATTTGCTTGTCTTGGGCAATTACTTTTTAAATGTTATTCATAATCTGTTCCACTAAAATCCTTTTCTTATTTTTTTTACATTACCATAAGAACAAGAACAATAGAATGAAGCCCTCAAAAACACGAAAGGGTCTCAAAAAATTGTAGCAGGATATCCCACAAAAATGTTACAGCCAGTAGCATCTGATGGTTTAAATAAATGTCAAGCAGTGAAGCCGTGGGAAGAAGACAGATCACAGTATCGTTTGAGTCAGATGCCAATTATTTTAAATATAAACTTGAAACAGGCCTGAGTTGCCGAACCTTTTCTTGCTCTAAGAACAGCAATTTTTTGCAACCAGGAATATTTGCAAATTCAAATCCTAACTTCACTGCTTACCAACTCTGTGTCTCTTGGCAAATAACAGGAGATTTGTAAACTTTAGTTTCCTCATCTGTAGTATGAGAACAGTGATGGTACCAACCTTATCCAGTTAGTGTGGAGATTCACGTATGCAGAGCCTTTAGACACACATAATAAGTGCTCAGCAAATGTTCGAACCAAGCATGGCACATAATAACTGCTCAGCAAAATTAGTTGCTGTCTTTTTATCACTTCTGTTCATAAGAACTCAGTAATCCAGCTTGAATTCCACAATGGAATGCTTGGGTGTGCCAACTTTTCACTTGCCACATGTGATTGATATTTTCAGAATCTCTACTCAAAGAAGCTTTCTGGCATGAAAACAATGGATTGGAATTTAGGATACTGTAACTTAGGGATAAACAACATTGATCAAGTATGATTAATAAAGCTATAGATTAGCCTTCAGTTGCTTTAGAAGGATGTGTTCCATGAATAGTAAAAGTGTTAATTTATTATTCTTACCTAACATTCGTGTAACAGATTTTCCTTTTCTAAACTAAAAGAAAAAATTAACAGCCTTGAAAGAAAGCTTATATAATGGTAAATATTACACATGTCCAATAAAATAAAAGACTAGATTAGAGCATTATAAACTACATATAACCTCTTCTAGTTGAAATGTTTAACTAAGATCTTTAATATATGACTTTTAAATCTGTGCGTGTGAACTGAAGTTGTGATTTGGTTCTGTGTCCATAAATTAAGGCAATGTGACCACCAACAAATGATTCCGTTACCCTTTCTTTAAGTCCAGTATGAAATGACTTTGGGTAATAGACTGCTGATATGTTAGATAATTTTATTTTTGAGTAATTATTGTGCATTTTCCGTTCTTTTGAAAAGTGTGGTGCTAAATATTATGATGTCCCAATCAGATGACTCATGATACACAACATTTTCATACTCCGGAAATGTTAACACATTACAGTCCTTGCCTTGAAAATATAAAAGAATGAATCACAAACAGCACATTTTCATTTTCCTTTGACCCTGTGAGACAATTTAAACAATGTGGTTTGCATGCAGCGCCCTGTGGCCCTCAAAGGCCTCCACATTGTCCATTTATGTCTACATTTTAACCCCAGGCCTTACTCATCTTGGCATTGTTTTGTAGTTGCATGAAAACGTGTGTGTGTTGTTTTTTTTTTTTTTGCATGACAAGTCATCTGTAATGTTGAAGTTAAATGTCTAACATATCTTGCAATATCACATGTCATTAATTCTTACATTTTTTTTCTTTTATTTTCAGTTACTGAAGTGTAAATATGCTTGAAATGTAAAAGTGGCATGAAACTGGAGTGATGCAAGAATATTTAATGTTCCTTTAAGAACTTACCATTTTTTAACTGGGGAAATTTGGGGGGCGTTCCCAGCCTTGTCTTTGGATACCAATCCCTCAATTACAAATTATGATAAAACTATTTCGAACACAGTGCTGTCAGTAGAGTAATAAATTCTGAAGTGATACTTTTTTTTCATGAGAATGTTTTTCTAGTTCTTAAATATGAAGTATAAAATGTGTCCCCTAATTTCAGAATTTATTAGATATTTGATTTATTGGTTTCCTTAAAGCCTTCTTAATAGTACATAAAATTAAGCTCAACTGACTTTGGTGAAATTTCCTAATAACTAAAAAAGTAATGAGTTACTGAATATCAGCACCAACATTCTAGTACTTTAATGTTTTCTAAATGAACATAACTATCAAAATGGATATTTGGTATAGGAGTGCATGAATATACAAAGAAAATAAGTTATTTACAACATTTTGTCAAGCATCAACACATAACTGTTCCAGCCAATGGGCTGAAAAGTACCGTTCTCTCCAAATAGTCACCCTGCTGGCTCTGCATTTATTTCTGCCAGCTGCCATTGCTAAAATCATGTTAGATACCCCTTGTCAAATTACCTTCAGTCTTTGGCAATTAATACCTATGTAGTTACAAATCTTGTTTCTTGGAGAGAGAGAGAGAGACACTCAGAGCCAAATTGGTCAAATAAGCTGGCAAACATATTTTTAAATGATATGTGAATATAAAATTACCGAGGTGTACATGGCTTATAGCCTGTGAAATGACTGAGAACATGTTTCCCAAAGAAGAACCCCAGAAAGCATTTCCATAAGAGCAACAATGGGAATAAATGAAATTTTCTTAAGGAGTCTTTTCAGGCAAGCATCTGATATTCACTTGAGAAAAACAAGTTCTGATACATGTATTCTGTTATGTCTATCTGTATTGCTTTAAATTCCACCTCATTTAAGATAATGGAGTGGTTTTCATTTTTAAGGACAGTTCTTCTTCCATTATTTTTAATCATATCAGAATATAGATAAGTGGCCGTTATACCTCCCTTCCTTGAATGAATATCAGGTTACTACCTCATTAGCAGCAATTATAATAGGTTTTGGTTGATGGTGTCTTGACTGTCACCCGTGAGCTCCGTGCTATTGGCAAGGGACTCAGCCTCTCTGTGCCTCTGGCCCCATGCCTACAAAGGAAGGCTTGAAGCTCAATTGTCTTTAAAATCTCTTTTGATGGAAAATATAATATTATAATTATCATCTATCTGTGTGAGAACTATAATTATCATATATCATAAATCCACACACATCTCTGTGAGGTTTTAATTAAATTCAAGCTGAAGTAACTCAAATTCATGTTATTGAAAAAGATATCTAGACACTGGTGTGCCCCATGTTTCTAATAGAGTCCTTTCTACCTGGTGATGATGATGATGATCAGGATGACATTTGTGTAGCACTTTGTGTTTACACTGCCTTACATGAGTCTCACAGCCTAAGAGCTGCTCTCGCAATCCTCACGATGCAGATGAAGACGCTGAGGTTCAGAGAGATTCACTTGCCTCTCTAAGCTGTTGAACTAGCAAGTTACAGAGCTGGAAAGAGACTCTGGGTCTTCTGCTTCCAGTTTAACACTCATCTCCTCCATCATCATTTACCTGCAACCAGTCTTTTATTTAATTAAGAGATGATTTTTCCAAAGTGTCATCATTTGGAATTTACAGTCCTGGAAACTAAAATCTGCTCTAAGGGACCCTCCCACACCCCTTTAGACTATCCACTTGCGTCACGACAGCTCTCTGCTTTTACAGACTAGTTGTTTTGTCAGCATGAGTGTGACAACAATTAGACGTCCCCTGTTTTTGCCCCATGCCTTTTCTCCTTCACAGTCATTCAATGACAAGCGTAAAAAGAGCTTCATCTTTTCACGAAAATTCCCATTCTACAAGAACAAGGAGCAGAGTGAGCAGGAAACCAGTGATCCTGAACGTAAGTAGATTCTCGAAGAGAATGTCACCTGCAACACAAGAGAAAAAAAAAATCCTTCATGGGCAACACGCATGATGTAGGCTGCCCCACGCCACACGCCTAGGCAAACAAACATGGCAGGCAGGCAGGTCAGGGCTTACTACTGTGACCAGTGTTTGGCTGCAGTCTGGATCCTTCCCTGGATGGAGCTCTTTTTTTTTTTTTTGCAGAATGCATTGGAAAGGGACCTGAGGAAGCAGGGGACTTCGCTTCCAAACAGCACCTTTTTTCCAGTGACCAAGACTGTGTCTGGTTCACCTTTTCTATCATGCAACTCTCCAAGGGCTTGAGACAAATTCTTTTCTGGACAGAAATCTTAGATTCCATTGCCACATGGATTGTTTTGGAGTGCTAGCTAACTGGGAGTGATCAAATTCCCCTCTTTCGGTTACTAGCATTTGTTCACTCTTTCCCTGACAGTGAGCTTATCTTGGGATAATTGACCTTATTCTTATGCTCAATCTAAGAATTGGCCATGAAACTTGGAGTGGATCATCACTCTCAGCAGTATTTTGCTGTGGCAGTATTGACAGTGGGTAAAAATGGCTCTTGTTGACTCTTTATCTTTTTCATGACAAACTTCTGCTTAAACCTTTCGAGTTGCAATATGAATCCTCAAGTCTCAGCCCAGGGAGTTTGGGGTGAAATTTGTTTCCTAAGAAGAGAGCGAGGGATCCAGATTGCTCAGACAACACGGTCTGTCATGGTAGTATCCATTTCAACTCCACTGACTTCTTCCTTCCTCTTCCGTGGCTGTTCTCCCTCTCTCATTGCTCTCTCTGGGGACTTCCATGCAGGACATCCCCGGATTAGGTGACGACGGTTATGGAACAAAGACTCTGAGTAAGTTCCCAGGAATGGTCACTGTAACTTTTCTTTTCTTTTTCTTTCCTTTTGAGTTTGGCTTTTGTTCCTTTTCTCAAGGGCCTTTTCACTCCTAGCATGCACAAGATACGAGTTTTATTTGTTACCTAGCTGTGAATGCTCCTACCAAGTAATTTTCAACTGTTTTGTTCTGCATGTCAGCATTTAAAAACAAAGTGTCTCAGGCACTGTAACTTCCGCTGCAGTTCACACCTTCCCTTTCTGGCCGTGTGATGTGACCAACATGGTCCCGATGCCAGCCGTGGCATCCTTGCTCTGTCTCCTAGTACCTCCCAGGGAGCAAGAAGCCATGTTGAAAGAAAGGGCGAGTTCAATGCTCTGGAACAGGAAAGCAGAAATTATTTTATGCTCTCTCTTCTGGCTTTTCACATAGACATATTTAATGACCTTGCCAATTTCCATAATTGGGTTGTACTTTGCTATTAGTAAAGGAGCTACTTTATAGTCAAAAGGAACATGCATTCTCAAAAAGTAAATATTAAGCTATTTGATCTTCCATGAATAATTCCTTGCTATTAACTTTGACTGATTTTTTTTTCTGACTTGCAGTGATCCTGCTTGAAACGTTTGTATGATAAAGTTTTAGATATGTATTAATATGTTTTTCTATCAGTGATTTATTACTGCATTGCATAACCAGATCTTCATTTTATAGCTTAGAGTGGAAAGTAAAGTATATTAAACTAAAATTTTTCTAGTTATTAATGCCTTTATTCTGTGTCTCATTGCACTAATAAAAATAATAATTCTGTGTTTTAATATACTATGATTTTTCTGTCTTTGACACTAACCCCATTGTGTAGGCACCAATGAAATAAGAACCATTATGTGTCTTTCGCAGCTGCATCACATGTTCATTTTTGTTTGTTTTAATTTAACAGCTATGGGCAATATTTTTAGAAGCTGTTCATTTCATTGCTAAGAAACAAAATAACATTGAGCTGGACTTTGTTTTCAAGAGCTGGTTATATAACCCTGCGTAATGATACCCTTCATCCTTCAAATTGTTAATTTGGATTTTTTTTTTAAGATATGTATATTTAGAAAACAAAATCTGATCAAGAATAACTGCTGATCTCCTTAAAGATGAAAACTTTATCTTTGAGTCTCTATACAGAATATGCCTTGAAATTTTTCTTGAATTGGTGACTGAAATTCGAGTGTTGATTTCAACATTATCCAGTTAGCACCAAATACCACCAGGGAGAATTTCTAAATTTTCAGTGGGGTTGGGTAGCATTTTCATATATTGTTAATAAATGAACATCTCTTGCTGTTGGAGAGTCGAAAGTATGTGATGCCTTTTTAAATCCAGAGTGATGGCCTTTTAAATCTGAACGTTTACTTACTCTCCAAAATTGAATATATTACACTAGGTAAAGTTATCTGCCAGTTAACAGTACTGGTAGCCATAATTTAGACTTTAGCTAGAACATATTTTTAATTTCTTTTCACCTGCAAAATAGAAAAATTCTGTTAAACAATATCTTAACATTAAGAGAGACTGGTTGTTAAATAAACCACTGTTTGATTCTAAATTTTTCTAGTGTAGCTTCATTCTGAATTATTTTAAAAGTGAAAATCAAAAACAAAACAAAACAAAAAACCTGTCATCTTTAAATGAAGGTGCTTGAGATAGTCACACTCATGAAGATAAGCCATTGTTGGGTATGTGCTTTGACTTTTCAGTAACAAGACAGATTTGCACTGATTCATCACACTTACTTTCCTAGTGCCCCTTTGCACTTGTAACATGTGTGCCTAAATTAATAATGCAGTTCTCATCAAACACCCACACAAAAAGAAATGATTTCAGTAAATTTGACCCATGCTTTAATTTTCATTAGTTTCATGCTCTAAAATCAGTCCATCCAGGATGCATTAACTAACTCAATTGTAGAAGTCCTTTCACAATCCATGCGTGTATCACATCATCACATAGTATACTTTAAAATACATGAAAATTGTATTTGTCAATTTTACCTTAATGATGCTAAAAAATGAAAATTAATCCATCCAACTGGCGAGAGTCTATAATAGCAAATACATTTCAAAGCACTTCTTTTTAAACTGTTAGAGAATAATGTTATATATGCTTTTCTCTTTTTCTAAAGATTTTGCAACAGTTGTCCCTTTTTAAAAAGCCAAAGTTATTGCTAATGATCTTCACAGATCAAATAGTTACATATTCTTCATTCAGTTAGCCTGATATACAAAGAAGTTGATAAATTGATGGATTTATCTTCTATAACTTAATAAATAGTACAGATAAATTATTTTGGAAATAAAAGTCCTAAATCTGGCACATAATCAGTACATCCCCCTGTTATGCTAGTTAAACTGTGTTTTTGTGGAAAAAAAAATTTTGAAATATCACTGTATACTTGTCATTCAACCAGAGTTAAAAACATGCTTTGTGCCAGAACCTGTGCTTGGTATTAGACCATTCATCTTCTGCATGTTCTACTTCCTCCAGAACCTAAGAGCTATCCAAGCAAGAATCTTAAAAACAAGGAAATATTGAACTGATTCATAAAACACTTTTCAGTGACTCATTTCTTCCTCTGAGGTGTCCCACATACTCACTGAAGCAGGAAAGTTCTTCAAAAATCCCTTTCATTTTGTGAATTAGTTTAGGAAGTATTTAAATAGAAATAAAATAAAAGGGATTCCAGGGAGGGATCAACTGGCAATTTGAAATGCGATATTCTTGCAAAATGCCTAACAGCAAAATAAAGCAACGAAAAGCTTGTAAGAAACCAGTCCTTACCCACCAGAAGTTCCTGAAATTATAGTCAGGAACATCCAGTTGAGACACATTGACCTTTGTAACAAGAATCTGGAAAATCAGAGCTATACGAATGGGTCAAAGTGTTTATAAAAAGAAAAGTGCTTAGATGGACAGTATGCATTTTTTATAATTAAACATACTTTCCTATTTGCTAATAAAAATAAGAAATAGCAATCAAGCAGTAGCTCCCTGGAAAATAAAGTTTTCATCTTCATCTTATCTGAATTTTCTTAATGCGTCTCCTCTGCGGCCTTACTTGCCTTTCGCTCACATTTCTAGTAGCCTTGCATGATATTCCTTTAAGTTCTGGCTGCTCTCCAGTGCTTGGTATCTCTTTAATTTGCTGTGCTGTTCTTGCAGAACATGTTTCTTCTAATGCCAGCGATAGCGAAAGTAGCTACCGTAAGTTATTGCTTTGGTTTGTGATTCTTTTCTTTGCAACTGCCCCCTTGCCTGTGGTGTTCATTTCAGATTTTTGCTGTTGTTTTTCAATTGCTGCCCTTTATCATCCTCATCCAAAGCAAATGGCTTGAAATGAAACCATCATTTGATGTGGAAAGATACAAAAGACATGAGGGCCATGGGTGAACTAATGTCATTTGTACAAGGGGTTGTGGAATTGCTAATAAATTATTCCAGCCTCAGTTGGCTGTGGCCTGGTGATGCAATTCTCCTAGAGAAGGTGGGGGGAAAATTTTTTTTTTTTTTTGACATTCTGTCCTCCAAAAATAATTTATACCCCCTGCAGAAAGGTTGAAAAGTCATCATGGTTTTATTTTCCTTCTCATTTTGCCTTTTCCTTTCTGTGCCTGGCTCCCCTTTGCGAGAGAAAGCCTGATAAATTAGTGTTCCTTTTAAATGAGTATGAACCTTGTATATCTCTTCTCTCCTTGATTAATATTTTGAGATAGATACTATGTTATATCTAACTTTTAAATTTTGATGATTGGGAAGAGATGAAAAAGTTTCATCCTCTAATGTTGAAGGAACTCACATTTTGTTTAAAAGTGAACAAATCTTGGATCAGAAAGCTTAACTGAAAAGGTAGGTAACTATTTAAAAATTATTTCTGATTTTTGTTTGGTCACCTCAAGCCATTTGCTGAGTGATAAAAGAATATTCACCAAATGCCAATCACATCCTATTTTAATCTGTTCTGGTGGTTTCTTACCACGTACAGGTTTTTGGTGACTAAAATAAGTACATTTATCACTGGGATCCTTGCAATTTTGATATTTATTTTGTACTCAGTGAAATGGGTTACTCAAAAAGCAACTGCTGATATTAGAAAATTGCAGGCCCAGTACTTATGACCCTCACCTACCAAGATAGAAATCGGTTGGAGGTTTTTGTTTTTGGTTTGGGGTTCTTTTGTTTTGTTTTGTTTTTGGTCTTTTTTCTTGTATTAGTTGAAGATAAGCATAGAAGAACAGAATAACTTTTACTTTTGTTTTTTCTACTACAACATGGTGATTTATAAAACCATGCCCTTTTTTGAGGTGGAGTGCCAAATAGTGCTCTTGAAGTGTGACAAGTTCAATTTGGATCTTGAGAAAGGCTCTAGATAATCAAATTGGTGGGGAAATAGTGGGGGGGGAAGGTACAAAAGAGGAAAGATGACAGATGGAGGGAGTAGGGGCTAGAGGAGGCAGATGAAACATGCCACAAAATGAAATGAAGAAAAGTTGTAATGAGATACCTTGGATCAACCAAATATTAGAACCCCCTCATTTTCTTCCTCAATAGAATGACAAGTCCTAGTGATGAAAGGAATTAAAGCTTTCTTGTTTTTAGCACGATCTTTAACATCTTCACAGTCTTCCTACTCTTATACTTTTATGATTATCCCAAATTGGGAAAATATTTACCTCTCCCATGTCTTCATTTGGTTCTAAAACAAAGAAACCTGGCTGGTTAAGAAGTGACCAAAGATTGTCTTTCCTGTGCCTGAGTTACCCGCAATTCAGTATTAAGAAAATATAACTTACTTGTTGGGTTTCATGGAGACCCTTGGCCCCAATTTCTTGGATGTTCAGTTTTCAGTTTTTAAATCTTGTGCTTCCATCCTGTAGAAACAGATAGAGAAATGGAAAACATCAAATTTTGTTCTTGCAATCCCTTTTATGGAAAGTATACAAGAACTACCTTTTCCTTCAGAAATATGTTTTTAGAATATTTCAGAGGCCTCCCTGTTCTTCAGAGATGAGCATGTTCTTTCCAGAATCATTGTTATAAAAATTGCACCAAGGCTTTCAGCTGTTTGACAAGTTTTTGATTGCAGTGCTCCAAGTTGACATCAATAATTCTTTTCACTCTCAAATAGTAGGTGCACATAAAGGTTTATTGAGTGAATAAAGGAAACACTTGCAAACAGTTTAAATTATCTATGAGAAGAGAGAAGAGTTGGAACTGTACTATTACTAGAGAAAATGTGGAGTCTAATAGTCTGTATTAACTTGGGTCTCCTCTGAGGGTACAGAAGGCTAGCCATTCAGATTGCTTTCTTTACAAATGAAAAAAGGTAAGAAGAGCCTTGTCATAGCTTAGAGGAGAAAAAAATGGACATTTCTTTTTCCAGGATAGAAATATGAGGAATTACAGAGGATTATTTCTTAGTTCATTCAGCATCCCCTCTGTGTCATGCTCTCTCACAGGCACCTTAAGACTCAATGTAAGTCTCAGTGAACTCTGGAACTCAGCACCGGTAAAGAGGGAGAGAGATCAATACGTTAAGAAAGCATAAAGTGTAGCCGTTTCTAGCATAAAAGTCTGCCCCAAGAATAGTGGGGCTTCAGAGATAATTTCAAAGAGGAGGGGCCTTTGAGCTGAGCTTTGCAAAGATGAGGTACTTGCCAGCTCAGTAAAGTTGAAGAAGAAACTCCCCAGGAAAGGCATTGGCATGACCAAAGACACAAAGGCTTGGGACAGACACAGTTTTTCCAGAAAGTACAGTTTCAAAATCAAACCAGGCTGGATTTTTCTACTGAATTCCTGGCTTTTGCTATAATTATGACTTTTATATTTTATGAATAGCAGTGTAGACAAATAAAATAATACCTCTTTTCACTCATTTTCAGATTTTTTTTTTTTTTAAACTCTTAGGGTTAGGGTTCCATGTCTGCTTGGGACAAAATGGCTAAAAAAATAGTGGTTAGAAAGACTGGCAGGCTTCCCAGGTCGCGCTAGTGGTAGGAGACATAAGAGGCGGGGGTTCAATCCCTGGGTCAAAAAGACCCCTGGAGGAGCTCACGACAACCCACTCCAGTATTCTTGCCTGGAGAATCCCCATGGACAGAGGAGCCTGGTGGGCTACAGTCCATAGGGTCATAGAGTCAGGCACGACTGAAACAACACCCACACACAGAAAGACGGGCCCAGGCCTGTGTGTTACATTCTGGAGTTACAGATTGTGCCAACCTTACTCGAAACCCTCACATATTTTCTGAGATACATATACATGCACATGAATTTACACCAACCTCAATTTCTAATAAATAGCCCAAACCTTTGATGCACCATCTCAAGAATTATACCATATTTTTTCCAAAGTCCAGTTATACTGAGCACTAGCTACAATACAGTTTAACAATGTACATTATCTAATTATGCAAAATGCTGTCTCATAACTACCTTAATTATGGGCTAATTCCAGATGTCTGTCAACAAAGTAATATAATAAAGTGCAGGCTTGTGTTTGTTTTGTATCATACCTTTGAATTGCCCTTATATGTGACGGCAATAAAGACCAATTAGCTATAATGGAGACCTTGCAAATCTCTACAAGCTGAAGACCTGCCTTCCTTAAAGCCCAGGAGAGCTCTTATGTTCTTACGGATGTGGGAGAGCTGATGATTATCCTCCTGACCCATTGGTGCTCAGCAGTTCAATAGGATTTTCAAACCAAGGATCTTAAAAAATGAACTGAGTGAAACTGAGATGCTGAAATGAAGAGATCTCAGACTTTCCCTCTGGAATCAGTCGAAATGGTGCCCCTATTCTCCTTTCTCCACTCTTCCCAAGTATTGGCCTTGTATTTCCTCAAGTTCTTACAAAGCAATTTTATTACATATAGTATCTCATTTGATTTCTGCAACAAAATTATGAAATATAACTTATATTTATATCCCATTAACTGATGAAGAAGCTGAAGTTCCAAAGAGCTACATTTCACTAATACTATGTCCCTGCAAGTCCAATCAAGATATTTTAATTCTGAAACTTAGACATTTTCACTATTCCCTGTGTTTTGTAATCCAAGCTTCTTCACGTTTTAGCTAGTACATTTCAACCATACCACCTATCAAATTAATTGGCTGTCCCTGGTGGTACAGCGGTAAAGAATCTGCCTGCCAATACAGGAGACTCGGGTTTTGTTTTTTTTTTTCCATTTATTTTTATTAGTTGGAGGCTAATTACTTTACATCATTGTAGTGGTTTTTGTCATACATTGAAATGAATTAGCCATGGATTTACATGTATTCCCCATCCCGGTCCCCCTCACCTCCCTCTCCACCCGATCCCTCTGGGTCTTCCCAGTGCACCAGGCCCGAGCACTTATCTCATGCATCCAACCTGGGCTGGTGATCTGTTTCACCCTAGATAATATACATGTTTCGATGATGTTCTCTTGAAACATCCCACCCTCGCCTTCTCCCAGAGTCCACAAGTCTGTTCTATACATCTGGAGACTCGGGTTTGATCCCTGCGTCAGGAAGATCCCTGGAGGAGGAAATGGCAACTGGCTCCGGTATTCTTGCCTGGGAAATCCCATGGACAGAGCAGCCTGGAGGGCACCAGTCCATGGGATCACAGAGTCAGACACAGCTTAGTGACTAGACAACAACAATCAATACAAGCAGCAATATTTATATAACATTAACTGTGAACTATGCCTGATTTTACGGACTCTATATATAGCAACATTTAATCTTCTGAAGGTCGTTTGAAGACACTGAATCAGTAATTCACTATGTGACCTTGAAGAAATCACTGAACAGTTTTGAATTTAGTTCTCTCCCATGTACATGACTATCTTGGATTAGAAAAGAGATACAGGAAACAGACTTTAATCAAGACTGCCCTTTAATAGCTGCCTGAGGAACTATACTGAGAAGTGTTGAGGCCAAGTGAGGCTCAGCTGTAATTCAGGCAATGATCGGTGTGATGCGTGTCGAGGGTCCGTGAGGGAGAGTGAAGTTGTGCTCCAGACTCTCCATCCATAAACCACGTTAACTCCAAACCCTTTCTTAGCACTAACATTCCGTGGTTCTAGGAAACTAGTTTATTCTTCATAATTATCCAATGCAGGCCCTAAACACTACATTTAGACCACTGAATGCCCTGCCACTGGTCTTCGCTTCCCTCACCTCTCTTTTTAGTTTGGAAAAAAGTTCTAAAGAAAAACACCTTGTTTTTCCTCATCATGAGAGCGTATGAGGACCTTACTCCAAACCCCTCTTACGGTGGCTTGCTTCCAGTTTAAAGACAGTGTTTTCTGGAGGTTGTAACAACAACCAGCTTCGCTCTGCGAAGTCTCCGCCGGCGGCAGGCGGCCACCCCCAGCACTGTGCCACACTCCCCTTTCCAGCCGTGCGGTTGCCAAAACAAGACCAAGTCATTGTTTGTACCCTTGTGTCAGCTGTTATTTCTAAGTGCCGACACCTCCTGAGCAAAAAATAGAAAAACTACTAAGGATGACTATTTTTTGGAGATGACACAGCAGCATTATAAAAAAATAAGAAGAGTTAGGGTTTGCAAATGGAGCACCTTATGGCCTGTCAGTAACCCTGACCCAGGTTCCGCTCCCTGCTCTGCCACCCACCATTTTTGTTCGCCTGTGAGTTCTGCCTCTACATGCCAGCCCCCACAGAGAATTCTGCATCTCTGACCTTTTGAGACTGTGCCCTATACTCAGCGAGGAGTCAGAAAAAAAGAAAAGATGTGGCTTTTAATCTTGACTCTACTACTTACTGAGGAAACAGGCCCTGTCTCCGAGCCTCAGCTTCTTCGTCTTTAAAGTGGAGATAATCAGAGCACCTACCTCGAAAGAAATGGCTGTGAGAAATACAAAGCAACGGCTGCAAAAGCCCTTCATAGCCTGTAAAGCGCTATGCAGACATGAATCATCTTTCCTTCATTGCCGCAACTTTTTTTCCTCCCCCTCATAATCTCCTTCCCATTACCCCTTGGGCTTTTCATTCTTGAACTTGAAAGTGAAAATTGGTTCCGGGCGCTGAGTTCACAGCTATTATGTAATACCAGCTGCCACAGCACCCCTGCGGGCTTCTGTACATGGTCCCTGGTTGTCACACAGTCGTTAGAATTGGGATGGGTGTTGACCTAAGGGACTCTTGTCCTCACTGCTGTCTGCCAGTCTTAGTGCTCAGAACAAGAACCTGTGCTTCCTGTAGGTTAGATGAAAACCAGAAAACAATAGGTAAACGAAGAACTACGGAACTCTGTTGCTTTGTCCTAGTTTTTTAAATCACACATTATACATACTGACACCAAATATTTTATTTAAGGTTTGCCTTTAGAATGTCCCGTCAGAATGATTTGCAAGGCCATTAGAAAGAGATTCTCCTGGGAACACGGGGTGTTACATTAATTTAGGGGAAACCACACTTCCCCAAATGAAAGCACAAAGTAGAACCTATTTTTGGCTTCATTGCTCATCCTGACTCGTACCACTAAAAGCAGAATGCAAACTCATTGGTCTCTTTATGTTAAGTACTGAGGACATCTTGGATAACTGTGGTATGGGGCGCCCAGTCTGGTGCAGAGACATAAGTATCACTTGATATTTATTCTTTTTTTGCATTTAAAAAGTTTGCAAGTTTTTTCAAGTATTTCTGTAACTGACATTTATTGTAATTATCTAAAGCCCTGAAAGAGAAATTAAATTGAACCGTAAATGTGGAAAAGTAGCTCCATAGCATGTTCTGTCACCTGATATTTAAAACCTGCTATCCCATGGGCAGGAGTCCCCTCTCACATATTAATCATTCAGGGAGGTATCTCCTGAAAGTTAGTGTGACATTACAGTGTTGGTCTGCCATGCTTCTATCTCTAAAGCTATGCTTTTTTTTTCCCCAACCATTTTTACACTTATCCTCTGAATTCATATGTCCTCTGCACATGTCAACCTTTAGATAACTAGACCTTAGCAATCATTCCCCTTTATTACTTTTTGACCCAGCTTCTGTAAATTTCAGTTGATTCATTTTTTAAAAGGGGATCTTTTTTTTTTCTGAATTAAAAAAAAAAAACATGAATCTGATTCCTCACATACCAAACCCCTGTCCCAATGTGGGAAGCTCCCCTGAACACTGGAGCAGTCATGGGTAGGTTCCACTTAGAGGAAGCACCCGTGCCCCTTCTCCATGACTTTAGGAGGTAGCCCAGCCATGCCATTCTGAGAGTGGGCCCTGCTCGAGGGTGAGGCGAGACACGATGTGGGCCTGGGGCCATTTCCCACCCCAGGGAAGACATCTGCATTCACTGCTTTAGCCATATACCGCCTAATTTCCTTAGCTCAGTCTCATTATTATCAAACCTGCCTGTAATACTGACTCCTTTCATGAAATTGATTCATCCTCCAGAGGCTGTGGCTTCTGAAGCAGCAGCACATGGTTCTGACCTGACTCTGGAAGGTTCAGGGGCTATAAGGAGATAGAGCAGTGAGACCCAGTGCCCTTCGGTTTCAGAAGAAACTACCTCTTATGACACACCTCGGGGCTTCCCAGGTGGCGCTAGTGGTAAAGAACACACCTGCCAATGAAAGAGACTCAGGTTCGATCCCTGGGTTGGGAAGATCCCCTGGAGGAGGGCACTCCAGTAATTCTTGCCTGGAGGGTCCGCATGGACAGAGGAACCTGGCGGGGTACAAGCCCGTGGGGTCACACAGAGTCAGACATGACTGAAGCAACCTAGCACACACATGACACTTCTCCTCTATAGGACAGCATACAAAAAGCCCTTTTCAAAACTTAAACTATTTCCCCACCAAAGATAGTCAGTTCTAGGTCTAACGCAAATGAAAGTGTGGAGCCTTCTGAGCTGGCAGCTGAATCAGACGAATCTCATGCCCAGTTCAACTGGGCAAAATTGATGATTAGGGAAAAAAAATTGCCAAAAAACCAGTTTACTTTCCATGGTTGTGTGTTGACTTAAGGCTCACCGTTAATCAGAAGGCTTACAGCAAATGACACTGGAAGGGTGGAAACTTATACTCCATGGTCTGCCTTACTTTTCAAAATTTCAAGGCTAGATTTAGCAGCGATTAGAACAAGTGATATAGGGCCCTCCTCAGTTTTTTATGTTAACTGACCCAGGATTTTCTTGATGAATTAACATTAAAGTCTTAAGAGCCTTGGAGTATATAGGGTGGTGAAGTTTTTGTCTCACAAATGAAACGAGCAGACACTTGCTTTTGAACAGGGTGTTTCTTTGGGAAATAGAATGGAAGATGAAAGGTCCAGAAATTCTGGTAATGTAGCAGCAAACTATTGGGTGGAACCTCTCCTTGAACTCAAGGGGTTCCTTTTAAGTAGGAATGTGGGGCGTGCAGCCGTAGCACTGCGGTTCACAGTGTCAGATGTAAGGCGGTCTCTTACATCATTGCCCTGCTGAACTGCAGAAGGCCAGCCTCCTGTCATTCCTCAGACTTACGACCAGCGACCCCCTGCCTCTGTCACGGTGCTAAACAGTTCTGTGAGGGTGAAGGGATGTGGGGACTGGTTGAGGAGGGAGAGCAAGGGAAGTTAGCCCTGAACTGGGTCTGTTTCCTGGGTTGCAGAGCAGGGCTTGTAGCTGTGGTTTGTGACTGGTTGTTAGTCCACTGTAATTTTTCCTTTTTTCTCTTCTCAGGAGGGCAAGAAGATTTCATTCTTTCTTATGAGCCTGTCACAAGGCAGGAAAGTAAGTTTCTTAGCATGCTCTGGTTCCTGATTTCCAGGCCATAACAGGCAACCCCATTTCAGGAGGGAATGAGTGAAGGACTCAGGGAAATAAACTGCTTAATATGCAGCAGTTCCCAGGCCAGACCCTGCTCTTTCTTTGGCCCTGTGGCCAAGCAGACACCTTCCCTGCAGAGTGTGTGCAGCGACAGCTCCCAGGAGGATGGAGCTGCGCTCTGGAAGAATGATCCTTAATAGGAAGGAGCACATCCAAATCATAAAGAGCGCCACCGACAGGATTGATGGGTAAAATCCCCCTGCAGGTTGATGTCCACTTAGTATTGAGGGCTTTCTAGCAGGGCTTCTGAAAGAGAAGCCTCCTTCTGGGCTGCTCCAGAAGCCTGGGAGGAATTTATACAGAGGCTGATGGCTCTTGACAAAGATCACAGAGAAAATTCAGGCATCAGAGGAGAAATTGTACCCAATGAACTTCTGAGTTCCTTGTAGCCCCATGATTACAAAGGAATTGGGAAAATCCAAGCAGAGAATGGAGAGTATTTTGAACTAAAGAAAAGAAAGTATAAAAACCTAAGATGTCATTACTACTAATGATGACTTTTGAAGTCGTTGCCTAAACAATGGTAAAAGAGCTACTTTGGAATCTTTTTTTTCTCCCACTCAATTGACTAAACGCAGTAGCTGTTTTGACTGTTGTGTAGGCATACGTGAAGAGTAAGCAAAACGTCTCCAAATTTTTGTTTTCATTGTCACTGCAGTTGCTTTTCCCTGTTAGTAAATTCTAGAAAGTAGACTCGGCCAACACACTTGGTGTTGAAGCATCAGTTTCCTATGCAGGGCTCTCTGGGCAATTTATCCACCCAAGTAACAGTCTCAGTAGTTCTTAGCATTCAGCAAGCTTGCCCTAAGTTTCCCAAGTCGAACTCCTCATCTGCATCTTCCTTTCCCTCTCTGCAGTAAACTATACCCGACCAGTGATTATTCTGGGCCCCATGAAGGATCGGATCAATGATGACTTGATATCCGAATTTCCTGACAAATTTGGCTCCTGTGTGCCTCGTAAGTATCATTTATCTTTCCTCTAGAAATAAAGCGTAGCTCTTTTTGAGATGGTAAAATGTAACTCCGTTTTTCCAGTAGCCTCCAGTGATTCAAATACCATCAGTCACCTATTATCTGAGCATCTCATTTCATTTCTCTGCCAAATACATTCCATCTATGCTGCCATGTCTTATTCTCTGTTTAGTGAGTAAATGATGTGGTAACCGAGAGGGCAGGATGAGTTTTCTTTGTAACTCCCGTGGTATTTGAGATAGCATAGGATTATTGATAGGCCTCCGTATTTTCTTGTAGATTGATGAAATGTCACTGAAACCGCTTTTCCCATAGAATCATGCTACAAAGCAAGTTTGTCCAATGCACAGCAAGCCAAATGCTGAGATGCAAGGTTTACAACAGAGAAAGGGTTTGTTTATTCACAAGACTGCCAATTAAAGAGGTTAGAGAAGAAATCTCAGACTCACCTCCCAGAAGCGAGGGGCTGGGGATATTTATGGGATGATGGAGCAGGGTGGTCTGAGGTGTGGGGAGTGTGGGGAAGGGTGATTGAAAATACGAAGGTAAGGTTTTTCTCATTCTGTGCAGGTGCAGGTAAGCTGCAGGCTTCATCATGGGAAGCAGATTCAGAAAACGTCAGCATTAGCATGTTCTGAGGGTGGATTTGGGGCCATCTGATGTCCAAAGGTCACCAGGTAGACACTGGCACTTGTCCAGTTGGAGGGTCGGTGGTCTTAACCACTTTTAACCACCTCAAGCTCAAACTGGACACAGCTGACTCTGAGTTCCTAAAAATAACTCGGGCAAACACATTGCTGAGTCTATGTGATGCTTGAAAGATATGCAAAAATTTTTTTTTCTTTGGTAGCAACAAAGTGATCAGTGAAGGCAGGTTACAGGCTTAATGGATCTCACTAATGATCACTCTTAGTTACAATAAGAGAGATCTGAGACAATGCCATCTGTTAAACTCATTTCAGGATGACTTAGGGCTGTGTGTCAATCAAAACAAAATACCCTTTCTTTTCCCAAGAGTTTTCACAGCCTCAGGTGTTGGAAGGAAGAAGACAAGAAAGAATATAAAGTTTTTACCCACCTCCCGGCCACTGCAGACTTGAATCTGCTTTCTTGTCCTTATGGACAGCCATCAGGCCCCCCGGTCCCTCTGAAACACTCAGGACATCCAGCCCTGCAGAGTCTATCTGCTCTCCTTCCTGCTGCTCCCCGCTCATCACTTCTGTCCCTGCTCCAGCTGTGTCACATGAAAATGCTAGAGGCTTTCTGTGTATGTAAACCCACCAGGAAATTTTAATTTATTAGACCACTGAGCTCTTAAATCTGATCTCAGCAGATATTCCTTTCTCACTCAACATTTTTTAAGCTCTTTGCTCCGAAGTGTCTCTTACATTTCAGGACTGCAAATGTCTGCTGGAATACAGGAGAACAGCAGGGATCGCACATGTGCAGTGCCCGGGCAGGGGGGAACCAGGACGAGTGTGCTGTCCTGTGAAACGGTCCCTGGCAAGGGTTCTGGGTAGCGGTCTTGCCACAGAACCTAACCTGAGAGAGACTCCAGACAGAAACCCTAGTCCATTTGCAGCCCCCAGCTTGTTCCGCCACTTTTGAAAGAAAAAAAAAAAGAAATTCCTTTAGCACCATTTCACTACCTCTCCACCTTGCATCATCTTCTTTAATTAATGGCACTGTTTTATGAAAATCAATATATGTTCATTGTACAAAACTTGAAAATGCTAAAAAGTTAAAAATAAAATTAAAAATATACAGAAAATCTCAAAAGATACCCAGAGATAACATCCCTGCTAATATTTTCATAGATTTCTACCTATTCTTTCTTTTCATGCATTTTCTCCTATGATTGGGTATATATCAAGTATATACTTTTCTTGCTTAATATTGTTTAAATTTTATATAACTATTTTAAATGTATATTATGTGATAATTAGTCCTTTCTCATTTAGGGTTTTTTTGGATTTCTCTACTTCTAAATATTATGAGTTATAACTCAAATACAATTATAATTTATATGTTATAATTATTTATAATTTATAAATTAGTACAATGAACATCTTTAAGGATAAAACTTTATCTGAAATGTTGATCATTTTTAAAGATGGACTTCTAGGAAGTCTGGGTTAAAGATAGAAAATATAGTTTGCTAATGATAAGTCAGTATATCCAGGACAATATTTCACTTATAATCAATATAAAAATTATTGAGATGTCTTATAATTCTTGGTGGTCAGTCTTGGAAATCCAGTGTGTGTTTTACACGTATGGACCAGCCCCCTTTTAAATGCTCTTGAATGTGGCTGCAGATGGCCGCAGTGAGCGGCACAGGTATAGAAGGTCTTACTCCCTCCTGTGTGCTTTTCTGTTAAATACAGTTTTTAAGGGTTACTTTCCATTTACAGTTATTACAAAATTATTGTCTGTATTCCCAGTGTTGTACAATACATCCTGGAGCCTGTCTTACACCCTGTCTTACTCCCACTCCCAACCTCTATATTGCCGCTCCCCTCCGTCACCACTAGCTTGCCCTCTGTATCTGTGAGTCTGCTGCTTCTTTGTTTTATTCACCAGTTTGTTGTATTTTTTTAGGTTCCACACATGAGTGATACCATATTTTATTTTATTTATTTTAACATTTTTTTGATTTATAATGTTACATTATTTTCTCTTCTCTTCTTACCAAGAAGTTTAACCAATTCTAACTATGATTAGAGTTGATTTATTTTAGTTCCTTCTTAACTGTGGTGATATCATTTTACATCTTTTAAAGTCCCTGAATATATTTACACTATATGTCCATTTTTTAATTTTATATGAGATTTTTTTTTTTACTTCTTTGCTTGTCCCATAATCTTTTATCATGTGCTAGACATTGTGAGCCTACATTATTGAGCATTTGGATTTTGTTATCAATCTTCCTTTATAGAGTATTAAGTTTTTGTTTCAGCAGGCAGTAATTTACTGACAAGTCAGCTTCTTTGAGCTTTTACTTGGTTTTAGACATTGTGAAGGTGGGTCTAGAGTAAGTCAAGAGTAACCTCATAAAATGCAACCATTCTGGGATCTCAACCTAATGCACAGCCCATCTGAACTTCAGGGTCTCCTAGAACTCCATGACCTCTAGACTCTCCATTTGGAAATGAAAATGGAGTAAATGCAGAGTCCCTTCATGTGTTTCTCCCAAGTATTACAGCCCAGCACTGCCTGTTGTCCAATGTGTGAAAATGTATTTCCATACATTTTGTCTAGTTTTATAGTTCTTCACAGTGGAGGGCTAAGCCTGGTACCTGCTACTATGTCATGGTCCTTAATAGTACACACTTTTATATCTATGTTGAGGGTGTGTGGTAAAAAAAAAAAAGTATAACAGAAGTTTATGAATATAAAGTTACCTTATTTTCATCTTTTTTCATCTTTAAAAAGATACTACGAGGCCAAAGCGTGACTACGAGGTGGATGGCAGAGACTATCACTTTGTCATTTCCAGAGAACAAATGGAGAAAGACATCCAAGAGCACAAGTTTATAGAAGCCGGCCAGTACAATGACAACTTATATGGAACCAGCGTGCAGTCTGTGAGATTTGTAGCAGAAAGGGTATGTTCTCCAATCATCTTACATCTCCCCTGAAGAAGGTACCCAGGTGGCAAACTGCATTTTTTTTCCTGGTCATTACTCTTCCCTGATTTCAGTTGTAAATTTTGATTCAGTATTCCTTTTAAGACCTCTGAGCAGAGAATCTCTTTAGAGCAAGGTCGGTAATCTTTGTTCTAATCTCAATAAAGTATGCTGACTGACCTGGCAGCGGAGAGGAGGAAAGGGGGCTTATAAACCTAAAGGCAATTAACAGCTTGAAGTTATGGAAATTCACTTTGTCCTTGACTCACTCTTCTTTGGCCCCAATAACTGAATTTGTTCTAGAAACTTGGTCACTTTCGGTTGTTTAGATCAGAATCCTCAGTTCTTTTTGTTAGTAGGAGTTTACTTTTTATCTCCCTGAAAACTTGAGATCCTTTTGGTGGAAGGGTAGACAGATGAGGAGGACTGCCCAGCCTGTTGTTGGCAGATATTCTAACTTAGAGGAGGTATAGATGAAATTGTGTGTGAAAGGCGCTCAGTCGTGACCAACTCTTTGCAATCCCATGGACTGTAGCCTGCCAGGCCCCTCTGCCCATGGAATTCTCCAGGCAAGAATACTGGAGTGGGTTGCCAATTCCTTCTCCAGTGGATCTTCCCTACCCAGGGATCGAACCCAAATCTCCTGCATTGCAGGCAGATGAAATTATCCTGCTGATAATTTCAAGGGCATGGACATGAGAAGACTGTATAAGGGCAAATAGAATAGGAAGACACTTGAGATCTGCCACAAGAAAGATCCTAATCACCTGTGAATACCAAGGACCAATTTCACAGAAGAAGAAAAAAAAAGTTATGAGCCCATTGTGTATTTGTTATATAAGTAATATTTGTTGGGTTGACTTGATTTGACACAACTTCCCCCCACTCCCGCTTTTAATGTTTTAGTTAAAAAATTTAAATGAGAAATGTTCACGTCTCTCCGAGAATACAGTAAGAAGGTGGGTCGAGTTTCTTCTCTCCGGGATGCCAGCTTCTTTGAGCAATATCACACTGTTTCAAATCACTTTTCTGGATAATTGCATCTGTTCTCCTCCTTGAACATGTAGACACAGCCTTTGTTATCTCAAGCCGTTCTGACCAGTGAATACTCAGACTTCATTCAGACATTCTATTTAACTGCCACATTTCACAGATAGCAAACTTGGAATATAATAAGTAATAAAAACTTGAGTCATCTTAGTCTGTTTCTCCTGTAAAAGCTCAAGTACTCGCTGGCCTCTCTTTATTTTTACGTGGCTATTATGGATGAGCTTGTACTCCCCTTTATTGATTTAGGACTGTTTCTATCTGCATAGTATGCTTTTCTCTTCTTTGTAAAGTTCTTTGGACCTCAGGGTAATGAAGCCATTTCCCTCCAGGAGGTAGAACATAATGTGTGGCAAATGTGTCTAGTCTCCAGAAATACTTTATAAAGCAGTTCCTTGCTCTGAGCACTCACTGCAGTGGAAGCCAAGTTAAATGAGGTATGCTATAATGTAATAGGGTCTTTATTTGTTAACAAACAAAAAATTTACATACACTATGCAAACCTCTCTCCCCACAGTTAAAGATTAAATACTTAAGGTCACTCTCTGTCTGTCCTTGCTCTATACTAGACTGAGCTTATTAAAGGCAGGATACATAGAAACACTCAGCAAATATTTATAAAATTGTTCTAAACTCGTGGTTACCATTCCTCCAGATTTAACACTGGCCAGGGTGAGACAAGGAGGTATTCATTTATTCCAACCAACAAGACTTGGGTTTGCATATTAGCACTGAGTCTTGGGCGAGTGACTGCTATATGTACGGCTGACGCAAGTGCTAGGCAAGTTAGTATTTTTAAGCCTTGGCCTTCTCTTCTGTAAAATGCAGTTTACGGTTCATATCTCATAGGTAGGGAATTTCTTCTTTGACAAGTTGGGAATTTCTTTTTGACAACTGTCTCCAGAGATGGTTTATGAGGGTTTCATGAGAATGGATTCAGTCATGTTATATATGGCTTGATGGCTTCCTTGTGCAAAGCATCAGGTATTTATTTAAGGAAATAAAGTTAGCTGAGATAACACTAGTGAAATGTCTGCTCCACTGGCTGACACTTAGTAAAGGAGTAAGAAATATATTACTGCAAACATTCGGTGATGACCTGAATACCAACTTTTATTTATGCTTTGCAACAATTCTTTTCAAAATTTGAAATCTAGTATCTTTTACCTCCCTCTAAAACATACTTACTTTTTTTTTCTTTTGCTGTGATTATGATCATTCTACTTGGATTAACGCCGTATTTTTCTTTTCCTTCTCCCAGGGCAAACACTGTATACTTGACGTATCAGGAAATGCTATCAAGCGGTTACAAGTGGCCCAGCTGTATCCCATTGCCATCTTCATTAAACCCAAGTCTCTGGAACCTCTGATGTAAGTGGCGGGCAGCGGCAGCCTTCATCCAGCCTCTTGTTCCATACAACAGAGCAAACAGCTCTTTGCCATAAATGCTCACAAGTGGAAATTGCCGTTGTTGATTTATTTAAGCATTCTGTTTTTTAATGATAGACAAAAGTTCTTTTTAACCACTAGAGACACAATGTCAGTAATTCCTGAGAATGTCTTCGCTAATGTTTCTTGATTTTTATTTTCATTTCACAAGTTGTTTTTGTTTGTGTGTGACTTCTTCATTTTGTCTCCTTGTTTTGAAAGTAGGTTGGTTTGTTTTTATTTTGCCTTGCTTTGCTTTCCAAATGATAGGAAGCAGTCATCTTTAAATTGTCTCTTACTTCTGAGAGCAATTCCCCCAGTAAATCTTTTTAAATGTGTGAGTTTTCATAGTGGGAGCAGACAACATTTCAAACTCTCTCCATCAGGCTTTCACATTGTTATGCCATAGAATTCTTGTGTTCCTTAATTAAAACCTCATGTACGTGGACCACTAGTGTTACAAGGAGTTTTATTAATGGCCTAGCTGTAAAACACCTACAGTCTTAACCAATAGCTCCAGACCTTTGCACATTTATGAACAGGGAGAAAAATACATGACCCAGGCTTTTTTATTCTTTTTATTTATTTATTTTAATAATCTTATTTTATTTTTCTCTATGACGGGTCTTTGTGGCTGTGCAGACTTTTCGCTAGTTGTGTGAGCGGGGGCCACTCTCTAGCTGCAGTGCGCGGGCTTCTCACTGCAGTGGCTTCACTTGTTGCAGAGCGTGGTTCTAGGCCGAGCGGGCTTCAGTCGTTGCAGTTCCCAGGCTCTGGAGCACAGGGTCAGTGGTCATGGCCCACGGGCTTAGTTGCTCCACCTGTGGGATCTTTCTGGGCCAGGGATGGAACCCCTGTCTCCTGTATTGGCAGGCGGATTCTTTACCAGTGAGCCACCAGGGAAGCCCTATTCCTTTTATTTTTCAGAGGACTTGTTAAATATCATTCTTCAAAAACTGGGCAGATATTCATGATCTGGCTATAAAGGGACACTATTTGGGGGGGGCACTTTGATAGGAATTGGGGGCTTTGTTTTGTACACCCTCTTATACAAAAGTGATGCTGTAGTAGTAAAGGTATAAGAGCAAAAAGGCTAAGAGCGGGATCCTGGAAACTGGTCAGGCTTGGTTCTGTTCCTTTGCCACTGTTCAGTTATGTGAGCTCCGGCAATTTGCTTGACCTCTGTAAGACTTAGTTCCTCAGCTCTAAACTAGGCACATTAATAATGCAGACCTCAGAGAGCCAGTGTAAAGATTAAACAAGATCTTAAGTGTAAAGTTCTCTATACCATTTTTGGCATATAGTAACTACTTACTAGGGGCTTTCCAGATGGCACTAGGGGTAAAGAACCCGCCTGCCAATGCAGGAGACATAAGAGATGCAAATTCAATCCTTGGGTCACGAAGATCCCTGGAGGAAGGCATGGCAACCCACTCCAGTATTCTTGCTTGGAGAATCCCATGGACAGAGGAACCTGGCGGGCTAACATCCATGGGGTCGTAAAGAGTCAGACACGACTGAAGTGACTTAGCACAGCACACAGCACAACCACCTACTAACTGGTAGCTATTATTACTATGAACGATTCCAAGTAACTTTATTGTAAAAAGAATGAAACTACTTTATCATTACAAAACAGGTGAACAGTGCCTTTCCCAAGAGGCTGCAAGAGATAACACCAGTGTCATTGTAAGAACTTTGCCCAAATATGCCTCCTTTTGGGCCTCAAGGCATTAGAGCATTTGACAGGGTTCACAAGTGAACCATAAAGTACTGGAAAACAGTGTTTATGGAAAGACCAAAGAAAATGAAATCATTCATCCCAGAGGTGAAAGCAGTTACTTGTAAAGGATATTGACCTGTTGTTTAGCGCCTTCTCTGGGAGGAAGAAGCTATAGTAGCTGGAACTGAAGTCTAAGAGGATTAGGTTAAACATGTAGTCAATCTTTGGGGCAACTGCCAGATGTGTATTTTAAAAGCAGAATAGATTCCCATAAATAAGAGATGGACAAAAGTTCTTACCAGGATGAAAAAATAAAGTGAGGAGGTCACTCTTAGTACCTTCTGCCCCATGAATTTAGGCATAAAATTATATCATAAAGAGCTTTGGGAACTTCCCTGGTGGTCCAGTGTCTAAGCCTCGGTGCTTCCAGTGCAGGGGGCCTTGGTTCTATCCCCGGTCTGGGAACTAGATCCTACATGCCACAATTAAGAATTTGCATGGTACAACTAAGACTCTGTGCAGCCAAGTATTTTTTTAAAAGAAAAATAAATAAGGGCTTTGCCCATAGTCAGCACATGGAAAAATATGTATTAATGATAAAATAATGGTTTTTGGCTTCCCAGGTGGTGCTAGTGGTTAAGGACCCTCCTGCCAATATAGGAGATATAAGAGACATGGGTTCGATTCCTGAGTCAGGAAGATCCCCTGGAGGAGGGCATGGCAACCCACTCCAGTATTCTTGCCTGGAGAATCCTCATGGATAGAGGAGCCTGGTGGGCTACAGTGCATGGGGTTGCAAAGAGTGAACACTCGACTGAACCGACTTAGCACTCAGTAGTATCCCTGAGAGCGTGTATAAGTTCCTCCTCATGTAAGCTGCTGTGTTGAGCATTGAGCAAAGTGCTTTAAGCAGCCACACATTTCCCTACATAAAAGTGATTTATAATCTGAGAAGAGCCTCGTAAATATTATTAGTACTGCTAACATTAATAAGAAGAAGAGAAACATGTCCCCCACCTCCTGGGAACAGCATCTTAAAGGCCCATTTCAGAAAGAGCAGAGTAAGTTTTCCCATCACAAACAAGCAGTGGGCAAGTGGCTTCCCGGGGAAGGGAGGCCTGAAGGAGAAGAGCAGCTGCATGTTCGGTTCAACGTGACACTCGGAACGTTCCCATCTGGTGCTCAGTGGGAGAAGGCCTGCTTCCTCCACAACTATAAGACGACTTATTTAATTTTGCCTTAGGGCCCTGTCATGGCCACTTATCACCAAGGAAAAGTAAACATGCTGAAGGCTGGACCCCACGATGAGACAGTGAATCTGGCATCATTTGCTGCAGCCGTTTGCATAGTGCAACACCAATGGCATTCAGACCAATGGGATCGTATTAGGAAACACTGGATGTTTACTTTCCAGTTCAGTCTTTCTGAGGGTTTTACTTCAGGAGCAAAGCTGGCATGCACTGCCCCTTCCCCAGGGAGGGGTGAGTGCCAGGTCAGCTGGAACCGCAGCATGGCAGCTGTCACATTTGGGCACCAATACATCATCACACACATTGTCCTCAAGTGCATCACCCACATCAAACCACAGGACTTATTAGCACACACATAGCTGACTCTCCAGAGAAGCAGAAAATCAAGGGTGTGTATGAAAGAGGTGTTTTTTCACATTGTACCACCATGTGACTTCTATCCCCCACCCCCTCCCCATGGCAATGAGTGGCTTTCCTATGTGTCTCCACCACGCCACTCAATATGCTTTTACTGTCTTTCTCCCTGTGTTTACTTCTGTCTTCAACTGTACTGTAATTATGTTTATTTGTCTGTCCATTCATTCATTCACTTATTCAATCAACAAGTTTAAGCATTGACTGAGATCCTTGTCATCACATGCTGGTGAATAAGCCACGGTCTCTGGCCTCAAATAACTGGCAGACTGGTCAGGGAGACAAAACAACTTCATGTATTAGAGGATAAAAACCTAAATTCAAGGGACTTCCCTGCTGATCCAGTGGTTGGGAGTCTAGGCAGGCTTCCACTGCAAGTGTTGCAGGTTCAATTCCTGGAAGGGGAACTGACACACAGTGAGGCCAAAAAAAAAAAAAAATCAGTATTGCTACAATAAATGCAAAGGGAATTCAGAGAAAATAGGCCAGCATGGCCAGGGAAGTCAAAGAAGATCCAGAACTACATGATTTCTTGACTCCTGGAGCAAAACACTGTCTTTCTATGAGAATTATCCTTTGGTTTAGCTCAGCATTTTCTGCCACCCAAGAATGACTGCCTCTCAAAGCTTCTAGGGTTAGTGCTGTTTGGGAAGAGAATTATAGATACCATTCCTCAGGCAAGATGAGTTTATTTCAACAAAACTTCAGGGAATTCCCACTTCTATATATTGTAGCCATCAGCATCAAGCCTATAGTCATGCTAATGTCTGACTTCAGTTCAGTTTTGTGTGTTTCTAAATAGGGGTCTCTTTAGAAAGAACATCTTAGTGTAATGAAAAGTCTGTTTCACTAAAAATTAATTAGTGAAAAACAATAACTTTGAGTTCTTTCATGAAATTCACTCCTTTACCTTAAGCAAGTCACTATACTACTTCTGGCCTTAGTTTCTTGCTCTGAAAAAGGAATTAAGACTACATGCTCCAGACCCAGTTCTCTGGCTTCCTAAAGTGACAGAAAAAGGCAGCAATGCCTTCAAAATTCTATTTGCACCTCTGATGCATCCCGATGGACCAACCAAAATGTCTTTGCTCTTGGCTGACTTTTATCAGCCCAGTGCAGTCACACTGGTATTCTTATAATGATCAGAGGCAGTGATTATCAGTCTTTGAGTAATAAAATGTCTTTGATTAAGAAAGAATGAGAAGGTAAAATATTCTTACTTAAGAAATACAGTGTATTTTGTTGACCAAAAAAAAAAAATGTTAACACCTAGAAGACATGGAAGGATAAAGCTGCCCCAGGTTGGGAATCCATAGATTAGGTTACTCTCCATTTTCCTCCCTCCTCAATTTGTCCTTGAAACTTTGTTGGATCTAAGTAATCTTACAATGATTAAGCAGCACATACCTACAGTTAATGATACACCAATGGTTGACAGACTAACAGAAAGAAGGACAGAGAGCGCCCAGTGTAATTACAGCCCATTTTCCTATCCACCGAAGAATTGATGCTTTCAAACTGTGATGGTGGAGAAGACTCTTGAGAGTCCCTTGGGACTGCAAGGAGATCAAACCAGTCCATCCTAAAGGAGATCACTCCTGAATATTCATTGGAAAGACTGATGCTGAAGCTGAAGCTCCAATACTTTGGCCACCTGATGAGAAGAGCCGACTCGTTGGAAAAGGCCCTGATGCTGGGAAAGATTGAAGGCAGGAGGAGAAGGGGACGGCAGAGGATGAGATGGTTGGATGGCATCACGGGCTCAATGGACATGGGTTTGAGTAAACTCTGGGAGTTGGTGATGGACAGGGAAGCCTGGCGTGCTGCAGTCGATGGGGTCACAAAGAGTTGGGTACAACTTAGCAACTGAACAGCAATTCCTATCTGAACAAAAATAAAACAAAATAGGCGTTAGAGATTCTTTCTTGCCAGGCTCCTCTCTCCAGTTCACTATTTGATATGACTTGCTTAGAGTCTGTTTGAAATATTTTGGTCCCAGAGTTTTTGATTGTTCCATTCTCTGCATCTTTAATTCAAGCCATCTTTAGCAGTTCCTTGAAATTCCATTTGATAATAAAAACAGAGGAAGTCCAGGGCTCTTTTCCTATAGATGTGCCTTACTGCTTTGCAGTTGAGCCTCTAGAGCTACAGAATCCTTTTTCAGCCTGAGAGACACACATGCCTGAATCGCCTGTCTCGTGTTCTAATTCCTTGGAAGACTGTCTCTGTTTCTCCACTCCACGTGTCTGCTGCCCACACTGAAGATGAACAGCAGCCCTTGGGGAGGGTGGGAAGGTCAAGAGATCAAAGCTTTCTATGAGGTCAGGACCTGAGGACAGTTGAGTCTTATTCTCTTAGATGGAATGAGCTCCGGAAAGCTGTGAAGTATCTTCCCTTCTCTCCACTTGCTCTCCTCCCCTCCCTCTGGCCACCCCAGAAGATTGCGTTCAATTCTACATCATGGACTCAATGGACATGAGTTTGAGCAAACTGGGAGACGATGAAGTCCACAGGGTCGCGAAGAGCTGGACACAACTGAGCGACAGAACAACAACAACAACAACGTCCTATATTTAAAAGAGGTTGAGACCGACGAGAACAAAATCTAAGGGCGGGTGACCAGGAAGGTTATACATTTCCAAATTACATCCAATGAAAGAATAGATGAAGGAAGCAGGGCGGTTTTTTCTGGCAGAATGGAAGCCCTGAGGGACACATCAGCACTTAAACACCGGAAGGCCTGTCCCGGAAGAAGGAGGTTCGGTTCTGCTCTGCAGAGCAGCTCCAACGTAGGATCAAGAGACGACCCTCTGGGGGCGTGAGTGCCCTGGGCCAGGGCAGCGACGGGGGAGGACGGGGGCAGCGATGGGGGAGGATGGGGGCAGCAACAGGGAGTTCCTTGTTGTGGCTGAAAACACCCCAACAAAGAGGAGTCCTGTCAAGGGCTAGGAAGCTGCTGCTAAGGTTGCACTCGGCCACATACACTGTAGTTTTTCAGGATTTGGTGTGTTCCCTTTGTGTTCTAACACCAAACTCTCTTTTTCCCAGGGAGATGAATAAGCGTCTATCAGAGGAACAAGCCAAGAAAACCTATGATCGTGCAATTAAGCTAGAACAAGAATTTGGAGAATATTTTACAGGTATGTTCATTTGCATTTGTACTGTGAGAAAGAGGATGAATTGTCTGACATCTGGCACAGAGGGGGCTCTGGGCCTGCTGTACCTGGGCCCTAGCCCCTTCCTGCTGAAAATCCCTGATTTGCCACTACTTCCATTTGATTCAAAATTCTGGGTTCCTTCTTCTCTGGATTCAGCTTCCTGGTTCCCACTGGCCTTACCCAAAACCATGAATGGCAGACTGAGCTATCTCCTGGGAGAGAGATTTTAAGTATTAGCATCTCATTCAGAGATGACTCATTGGAAAAGACCTAAATGCTGAGAAATATTGAAGGCAAAAGGAGAAGGGGACGGCAGAGGAGGAGATAGTTAGATAGCATCACCAACTCAGTGGACATGAATTTTAGCAAACTCCAGGAGATAGTGAGGAACAGGGAAGCCTGGTGTGCTGCAGTCCGTGGGGTCACAAAGAGTTGGACACGACTTGGCAGCTGAGCAACAACAACAAAATCTCATTCAACTTCTCTCCCTGAGTTGATCAGAAATTTGAAAACAAAACTTTTACAGCTCCAGATGTGCACTGTCCAAGCAGTTACTCTTGAAAAGTAGTCCCAGGGTCTCTATTCTCTGCTTCATGGACCTCTGGGTCTGTCTCCCCATTAGGCGCCAGGAGAAGATGCTTGAAACACTTCCTGTGTTTCAGTTAATTCCATGTCATATCTTACTGCAAAAAAATTTTTTTTTCTTTTTAAATTTTTCCTTGGAAACATAAATTGGGGGGGATATTTTGTCCTGGTTATCATAGGTTCTCTATTCTTATATGCTTTCATGAAACACTGATCAGATCCAAAAAGTGATCAAACTTTGGAATTTGCCTTACAACTGATAGGTCTTCCCTGTAGCTCAAATGGTAAAGAATCTTCCTGCAGTGTAGGAGACCCGGGTTTGATCCCTGGGTCGGGAAGATCCTCTGAAGAAGGGAATGGCAATCCACTCCAGTATTCTTGCCAAGAGAATCCCATGGACAGAGGAGCCTGGTTGACTACTTAGCAATTGAACTAAGTTCAGTTCAGAACTGAGTCCCTGGGATCACAAAGAGTTGGACATGACTCAGCGACTAATGCTACATACAGTTACAACTAATGGTTTAAAACAAGAACTTTCCTCCTGAGTTACCTTACATGAAGTTAGCTGTTTTCTTTTTTATCTCAATCAAAATATGAGAAAGCTGGTGGCTTAGCAGTTTGCAAATATGTTGAATCAGGTAAATCTTAAGTAAAATTTCCATCAGTAACAAAGATATGAGTTATGTTTCCCCATAAAAGAACATCTAGTATGTTCAAAACAATATACATGTTGAACAGTGCTTTATATTCAGGAATAAAATACAATAATCAGCACATTCCAAGGATTGTTTTTGAAAATCTAAACCATGTTTCAGTAACAACTTCTTTTTAAGCCCCAGTGTCATATGGTTAGTACTGATTTGTTAGGGATATCTATCTACAAGATAGTTTTTGTCCAAAGGAGATAATAAAATGTATTTAAATCTACTGTAAGTGAATTGGTGTTTGGGGTAATACACTGTTTGTTTCCTTCTATTTTATATATTTTTTGCAAGTAATTGCCATAAGATATCCTCACTATGAAGAGCCCTGAATGGTAAAATCTCAATTTATTAGATTAGTTGGAGAATGCATAAAGTTTCTTATTAAAGGTTTTGGGGATTGAGGAGATTAACTAAAATTTTTTCTAAATCCTTATTATTTCCTCTGTGTCTAGAATATTCTAATTTCTGCCCATTATAAAATAAGTAATATAAATCCAGCTTATAAGAGAATATAAGCTGGAGAATATAAGTCCAGCTTTCTTTGGTAACAGGGAGCTCTCAGTCTGAAAATTGACCAATGCCTAGCTCAGTGCCTGGCCCAGAGTCAACACCCATAAAATTTAAATAAATGAGTGAGTCATCATGCAGAACTACAGACAGACATGTAGAAAGAAGGAAGACTGATACATTTATTACTAATCTAGGACATGCCTTAAAAGCATTTTTTAAATCATTGATGTGACCTTTCTTAAGTGAATCTCTGCTTTTTCTTATTATTGAGAAGTAATATGAAGCCTCCTGATGAGTTTGTCACTGTTTGAGCTTCTTCTACATGACTGATGGTCATTCTTCACCAGCCAGGAAATGCTTCCTGACTCCTGTGTGTTTGCTTTTGTTCCAGCTATTGTCCAAGGCGACACCCTAGAAGATATCTATAACCAATGCAAGCTTGTTATTGAAGAGCAGTCTGGGCCTTTCATCTGGATCCCCTCAAAGGAGAAGTTATAAATTAGCTACTGCACCTCCAACAATGACAGAAGAGCATTTAGATGAACAAATATATATAATATACTACTTGGAGGCTTTTATGTTTTTGTTGCATTTATGTTTTTGCAGTCAATGTGAATTCTTATGAATGTACAACACAAACTGTGTGAAGCCATGAAGGAAAAGGAGGGGCCGAAGTGTGGGACAGAAAAGACATTGCAGTATGCGGGGAAGGCTTTGGTTTGCTCAGAGTGCCAGGTGCAGGGACGAACCTCTGATGGGCTTCGTGCCCAAGAGGTGGGCAGCCTCCTCACCCAGCAGATGTCCAGAGCTGGCTTCGCTGCTGAGCTCCCTGTGTTTTTCGCTTTAAAGAAAGGTTGCCAGCACTTTAACTTCACCAACCTTCCCGTTACCCACATCTATAATTGGTACACTTCAAATTTTAGAACTATGCACATCCTCTGATTTCTTTACAAGCAAAAGAAAGAATGGGGGAGGGGAAGGAAAGGAGTCCCTTTGAAGACGGCATAACATTACTATCAGGGAAGGATGAGTGTGTAGTTCCTTTGCCTGGCATCTACAAAGATGAGCATTTCATAAAGTTCACACGTGTGTGGAGGACTGACCTCACTGGGAGGAGGGGATTCCACCTGGGGTTAGCTTTATGATTGTTTATTGTCTATTTTGCCATTTATAAACTGAAAGAAGGCACTAAAGATGAGAATAATTTATACAATAAAAATATATTAAATGTATAGAAGCGAATTTCTATAGGTTAAAAAAAGTTTTGTGAAATATTTTGTAAAGATTAATTGAAAGACTAAATGTATGCACTATCTGCAGATGATCCAACTCAAGAACAGAAAGTTGCACTCTCCCTTTCGTTGCCAATGATCCACTAAGAGCATCTGAGTTCCTTCTGAAGCCTGACAAAGACTTCTCCCTCATTACCTCCCGCGATCCCCTTCCCACCTCAGAGATACACTCTCATGGAGCACATCCCTTAATGAGTTGCCCTCGTGGATATTTTTGGAGGACATTTGCTTAATGCAATTTTTTCAAGCTGATGGCTTTCAGAGACAAATTCATACAAATGATGTAAAGGAAAGTTTTTGCTTTTTTCTTGTTAAATACCCTGGGCCTGCCATGCAAATAGCTGAACAATGTTGTTCCTAGTAACTTACATACAACTCTTAAAGGATCATTTAGTATTTTGGCTGTCATGAATAATTAGGACTCTTTTGTCTGTTTTATAAGTAAACTGAGGGTTTTTGTAAGAGCCAGAGAAGGTGCAGAGCCATGGAGAGATCTGTCCTAAGATGCAATATTTCTTTGAGGAGGAGAGAGAGAAGGGGAGGATCTGACAGGAGCGGGTGAGGGGTGCAGACTTCTGTTTCTGTGTATAGGACAAAGAGATAGAACCACCAGGAAAGACCATTTATGACTTCGAGCTCAACCAATTGAACTGCCTTTCTTGGGGGCTGCACCTGGACCAAGTTTATTTTTTAGCAATTATAACTATGATGATTAAAAAAAAAAAAAAGAAAGAAACTTCCCGAAGCCTATCTCCCACTTTAGAGCTGATGCTGACATCAGCATTGCTTGCACCCCAGGTGTTTAGAGAGAGAGACTTTTCAGTGATCTCTATAACTACTCAACTCTGGGTCATATGCGTGCCCAGACTAAGCCCCGTCGCCTTATTTCTGGGGTACATCCAGACCTGGCAGGAATCTGCCACACTGTGCAGTGAACCAGCACGCCGGCTGGGATGGGAGAGCAAGGCAGAGCTATCAGCAGTGATGGGGCTTCTTCACAGGAAGCGCATCAGAGCTCAGAATGAGGGTCTCTTTCCAAAAACAAGCATTTTTCATCTGACACTAAAACACCACAGTCTGCCTGGCTGCAGTCACCAAAACAGACACAAGAGATGCAAAATCATGCACCTACCTATAGTCTTGAGGCTGCCTTTACCAATGGAAGGGCTAGCAATCCATTTTCCCTCTGATGAAAGTTAAATTTCCCAAGACTTCCTTAGGGTGTTCAAAATGTCAAAAATGTAGCCATGTCTGCAATTCGCCAGTTTCAGGTCAAGGCCTACTTTCATCCATCTTTGCTCCCAGAAGTGTCCGCCACCAGAATGCCATTCCTGATCCCAGCTCTACTTTTAGGCCACCATGATAACTTCTTTGGTTTCTCAACTGAGCATGCAACCATTTATTTAAAGGACTGTCATTAATGAATAGATGTTTCCGCGGGTCGTGTGACGTGCTTTTCCATTTAATATTAAGTATTGCTGTGGCTGAGTACAATCAAATTGAACCACCAACCCTTGGTTTTGTAGTAATACAATTATTTTCCTAGTGTAGATGCTTCCAGATAAGAATTGGCATTTGCACTGATTTTTTTATGTAGATTTATATAAATATATATAGACATATATATTTGCTTGAAGAATCACCAAGCCAATTGGTGAGAGGGTCTTTTCCTGTAGAATTTACACCTCCATTTGTTGTGTTGTCTTGCGCTTCCCAATGTTGAGGTCTCCACGGCTCCAACACACGGGTGTATTTTGCCGCAGACCCGATGACTTAAGATGGAAATGGCGCGAAAGCTACCCAGATTACAACTGGTGCAAATGCACGTGGAGCCTGGGGCCAGACTGGTGCTAACACCGCAAACTTTGTCGAGAGCTCTCTCCAATCTGAAAGCTTGCTGGGGGCGCAATGTCACCTTCACACGCTGGGCCCTTTCTGAAAAGTGCCAGATCGTGTCACTGGTGCTATTTTTCATGCTCTGGTACAATGTGTAGCACCACGGGGGTCTCAGCTTTACCAAAATTGAAAATCCCACTCGTCAGCTAATCGCAGGGGCATTTGTTTCCAGCTCTCCTCCCGCGGGATCTGTGGGCCATTTCTTTGCAGGCCTTTCCTCCCAGCCCTCCGCTCTTGGGTTGGCTCTGTTGGGTGCGCCCATCTTTACGGAGCTGCACTCAGGTGCCTGTGAGCTGTCTTGGATCCCACTGCCAGCCCTTCAGGACTCCGAGCCAGGGGGGAAGCTCCCCACTCCTATGGCTCTGGCCTCTGTTCTTTTCCTCTCATTCTTCCCCTCCTGGTTCTAGCGCGTTCCATGTCTTGTATGTACCTCTCCCTTCAGCCTTCCTTCCTGTCTCCTCCGAGTCGTTGGCTGTCCCCCGAATCCCTTCCTTACTCCCTACCCGCTGTTGCCTCATCTCTTTGTCCGTCTCTCCCACCGTCTCAGACACTCCCCTGCCTCTTCCTCTGTCTCCACCGTTTCTGTGCTTTCTCTTCTCGCGTCTCTGACCATCTCCTCTCCCATAACCCGCTCCTTAATTTTTCTGTCCTTTAAGGGCTCCTGGCTGATTCAGACAGCAAGTCCACACGCTGGACTCATGACACAGATTCTTTGGGTCACCATTTTCACCCAGGCAGCCCAGAAAGCAAAGCTGAGCGTGAATGAGGTCCCGGCTGGAGCCAGCTCCAGCAGGCCTCCCCGAGCCAGCCTGCACCGCTGCCCCAGCAGTGACGATGCATGCGCCCTGGGCCCTGCCAGCACCTGGGTCCCTTTCTGCCTGAAGCCTGGTCCACAGGGAGCCCACTCCCAGCACCATCCCGTGGTTCCAAGGACACTTCCTTTCGCTAAAGGCAGACTCCAGCCCCAACAGTTGTTCTGACAACAAACCTCTTTCTTCTCCTGGAAGCCATGCCATCACCTTGGTTTGGAGAGAGAGATATTTTTTTCTCCCATTCATAAGCTTTCTTTTTCCTCTTTTCATCTGAAGCTCCCTCTGCTTTTCAGCTGGTGATTGCTCTGGTGAGATTGAATGGACTTGCTGGTGAAATTACATCTCTTTTTTCTTTTCCTGTCTTGGTCCTGCCTAAATTCCTACAAAAATATTTAAGTCAGAGACTCAGGCTAGTTCCTAAGTTCATCATAGTAATTTGTCACTCCTACAGGAACAAAAGGGGACATTTCCCTTAAGCATGTGGAGTCCCTCCTGTGACAATTGATTTGAAAGAGGACTCCCTCCAGAATTCTGTGGATACACATTTTATTTCTGTGTATGTATGGTATATGTGGTTTGTATATCATGTATACACATACCACATTGGGCACACATGAATGTGGATGGAAACCTACCCACACACTTTAGTCTGTAAATATCCTTCCTCACTGAGAACTGTGTTTGGAAATCATTTTCTGTACAGCTGTGCAGTTTCTTGTAGCAGCTGAGGACAAGCTTAAGACAGGTTGAATGGTTTAGACAAAGATCATCTAAAAGACAGAAGACAGAATCTCCCTAGCAACTCATGAGGACAGACAACCAAACAGCAAGCTTGGCTCCCAATGAGAGGGCGAACTTTTCTCCTTTTTGAATCTGTGTTTACTAAACGCGTCTTAACTTCCGAGTGCACCAGGCTGTATGCGTGAGATCCTTTCAATATGCCAAGTTTTGTAACAGTTTTCTCTCTGACTGGATGCTTCTCCATTGTGCAGGATGGGAGGGAGGGGAAACACTCCTTGCCTGGGCTGGAGTTTACAGAGACACTGCACAGCTTACACTCCTGTTAAGTGTAAATATTCGACACTTCCATTCCATTTGTGTAAAAAATAAAGCACACACGATTATAAAATCAAGATGTATATTTCATACTCACTGCGTCTTTGCATATTTATTGCGTTGCCAGTTGCCAGCGGTGGCCCCGTTGTAAAAAAATGCTTGATAGAGTGTTTATAAACATGTCATGGTTTTATTATAAGATATAAATATTAAAACATTTTATACTTTATAGCAAATTATTTTCTCTCAAAGCATAATTTGTCTTCTTTCACAAAGAATAGAATCATTGATTTCTATTTTTATCAGACTTGTCTGATTTTAGAGCTAAAGTGTAGTTAGACTAGATTTGCTCTGAAAAATACTGGCACTGCCAAGAGGAGCTGAAAGTGGTGCTCCAAAGTATTTTTGAATATTTGACTACCATCTTGCTTGCTTTTAACCAGGATTTTGCCAAGGGTGAACAATAGTATTAAATGATAGGGTTTTTTTTAAGACCCTCACATCTGCATGAAAAAAACTTAATTCTACAGTTTCAAAATTGTGAGGTTCCAGAAGATACTAAGAATAGGGAAAAACAGTTTTTTCTTATCTGGTCCTAATGATGCAAAGAAAGGCATAAATTGGAAAGGAGGTGTCATTTTCCACTCATACTGAGGTCAAAACACATACCAGCTCCGAAGAGCTTAACACACCAAAAACGTCAGGTTTGAAAACCTGAATCTGCTGGATAATTCTTCCCTCCAGGTTAAATATATTCCTTTACATAAAGGCATTTGGACAGTGCAGGTCTCTTAGTTGGGGGAAGCAAAACAAATTTCTCCCATGAAAGGGGTGAAATTTCACCATCCAAGTGATCCCTCTGAGTACATTTTGCTTCATGATAAAC